TCCTTTCCAACCTTAGTGATTCTGTGAATAAGACAAGAACTTCTTTCCTTCCCCAGATCAAAAGAGAAAAACACGAGGTTGTAAGATAAAGTAAACCAAGTATTGTTAATGAGTGAACAAATCTAGATTTGAATCTAGAACAATCCTTCCACTTTGTAAAGGCTGAGTGCCAGCACGTCCTCACTGAAGAACTGAATTACTCCTAGATCAGAGGCATCACTTCAAAGAATTACTTATGAAATCGCACAACATCTACTAACTCTTCTTTGTTCCAGTAGTGTGCATTGGTTTCAATCCAGATGTGCATTTCTAAGCAAAGAAGAGAAAAAGAAAACAGGAAAAAAAACACCCAAAAATGGAGACAAAACCAGCATAAAAGATCTCATGTGATACAGATGAAAGTATGCACTTGCTTGTGTTCTTTGTTTTGGGCAGAGCTAGCTGGAAAGACAGATTTGGAGTCACGGGGCTTCCTTGCTTCTGTTTATTCCTGTTGTGTTCAGAGAAATACAATGTTGATAAATTCTTTGTAAATGCAACAAACTGCATCAGCGGAATACGTGACACCTAACTGAAACACCACAGCAACATAACATTGAATAGTAGCCAGCAACATTAGCCAATTCAGAAGAATATTAGAATTTCCCTTAAAATATTAGTCCTAAGTATCTATAGCAATACTGTCATAAAAGCTCTATTTTACACATCTTAAAATACTCGGAGATCCTAACAGGGGAGGGAGAGAAAGGGAAGTGCTTGTTAAGTACAAAGCATTCTCTATTAACTGTGTAATCTCCAACTTGGATATTCAGTTTCATCTTTTTAGCAACAAAGAGAGAAGCACAACCTAAGGTGAACAATTCTGTTCATCTTAGGCTATAGCGGAAATCCAATTTAAAAACTGCATACAGGTATGTTGCTTTTACAAAGCATGCTCCCATGTTCATAGGCAAATTTCTCGTCTCTATTCATTTTACCTTTGTTACAGCAGCCAGAGACAGTTGTATGGCAGGCAGTAACATCTTCAAAGATGCACTCGCTCTCTGTCCCCATGGAGTCGTCAAGAGGAGGTAATGGCAAAGAACAGTCACTGCTTCTCTCCATGTTGCTATAGAAACCAGGGATCAGGAACGTAATGTTCTAAAACACAAAATGAAACCTTATAAAGCTGAGCTAACTCTCACAGGTTGGGGGCAAATGCTAACAATCTGTGTTTGCGGACGTGATTCTCATGAATAGCCAGGGAAAAAGTGACCCACGTGACTGATGGAGAACATATACTTGAAATCCATACCAGCTCCTCAGCACTGCAAGACTTAGCAATTACAACACGGAAATTTGCGTGTCAACCTACAAGTCACTTGCCGAACACATGGAACACAGAGGTTTTGTGACAGACAGAAATGAGTGTAAAAGATGACTTTACAATTCCAATGGATACACTGCCAGACATAGCAGTCTTTTGGGAGGGATTTAAACTTCCATCTTACCTTTCCCAACAGTTCTTTCTTCTCATAGCCAAAGAGCATTAAAGCAAAACTATCCTTGATTGCACAGATGGTTCCATCTGACTGGAGAGTAATAAGACCACTGATGGTGGAAAAAACCACGACTGTAGCAGAGTAATGATAGCCTGTGAAAGAGCCTTCTTTTTCTGTCTGCAGAACACCGTCTTTCTGCACTGCCGCTTGGTCCTCCTCCAGAAGGCTTACTTGCAGATTTAAGCTGAGAGGAAACATGTTACCCTCTCTGGATCGGCCTACAGCTTGCTGGATCCTGAGGTTCTAAATTAAAGCAAAAATAAAACCAACACCAAAAAACCCAAACAGAAAACCTCTAACTAACCAAATATTTTGGTTCTATTTCAGTATTCATATAAAATTACACAGGAATGTTTTCAGGAAAAAGGCGCTGGAAAAGGAAAACGAACCAATCCTGTGAATAGCAAAATGACCAAAGACTGGTTTTCTAAGGATTTGGAATCCAGTGTTGAACTCCTGTATGAATGTCCTGATGATGAAGACCAGGGAAGTCCATGCTGCAGCTTTTCAGCACATGAGGCATTAATAAGGCCTCTTTCAATTATCTACCTGCCTGTTTTCATGGCATTTGCAAGACCTGCGTATTCTTTAGACTTTCACTCCTCAGACAGACATGACTGAAACTGGCTAAAGAATTCAAAGGAATTTTAGGGATCTGACAGAGACAGCATGGTTTCTTAAAAAGCCAGGATTAGGGAAAATTGTCTTTCACCAGGACAGATTCCACAGTAAGAGGTCGGGGCTTGGTCTTGTCCCTAGGTAGGAAATACTGAGACAGCAACTCCATAAATAAGCAGCACACCCTTTTTCAGGGGACTTAACGCTTCTCTCTGAAAAGGCTTTCTTCTGTTACATAAAGAGGGAAAACAGAATGCAACTATGTTCCAAATGGGAAAGGTATGGAAGAACGTGGTTGGTGCTTATACCATACCTTTGGGATTTTTTTGCCTAGAGGAGGGATCTGCACAGAAGGAATCAGGTCCTTTATGTGAAGCCCAACTACTTCTTCCAATGTTGGGTAGCCATGGAGATGGGCAAAAAGGAGGTCACATGATGTAATCTCTCCCTTGGGAAGAAAATTTACAGGACTATTTTAATGTTACCATTTTAAGCCACAGTCCACTCAACCCTTTAACAGTTTCTGCAATATCTAAGCAAATGGCAGGAATGTTCATTCTGCAGTCTCTTTGTGGATACAACTAACTCAGTAAAAGCAGACACAGCATAATGCAATACCTCTCCCACATTATCTGGCAGAAAGCCTGCCCTTTGCCATATGGGAGAAGCAGGGGAGTCCAACGCTCCTCACAGAACTTTTCCTCAGCGAGCTGATCCCTTCACAAGGGCACCCCTGCCATGAGTAACCACCCCCTTGCCCAACCGCCACTGTTCAAGTTGAAGATGTCCTCGGGGGAGAGACAGCGTATTTTAATGTGCCTTATTGAATACATCAAGGTGAGCCTTGCACAGGTGAAATAGGCACAGATCAATCCTAATGTGCAATCCTGGTTTCGGGCACACTTCATGTTCACAAATAGTAACATGTTTACTGGCTTTTAGACACATTTCATTCACACCTAATTCTCATAAGCAGCCACAAACTGCAGTCTTATTTGATCATTAGGAAAACACTCACGTCAACCCTGAAGGAAACAGATGCTGTAAGTCTTTCCACTGGTTCCAGCACAACCACACAACACTGGTTGTCCTTGCTTCTTATTCGTCTCAGCCAGACCGAGACAGGGATCTTCTCTTTGAGACGGCCTATAACATCCACCTTTCCATAGGATTCAGAGATGTAGTCGTAATTTAGTAAAACTGTGGTTACTTAGCAAGAATTTCAAACAAGAATAAGTTACTGAGCTAAGATATCTTCCCGTCATTGTTAGAAAAACATTGTTTCTCAACTACTTACTAGTTTTTTTATTGGAAGAAACACAGTTTTAATATAGAGATGAAAAGGTGTACAAATAATTAATTGATCATGCACGAAATCTCATTGTTGCTTTTGTATCTTTTCTCCCAGCCCCAGGAATACTAAAGGCATTTCTTTCAGCATAATAAATGTGCCAGTCTAATACCTTGCATTCAAGAGAAGTGCCTTTCAGAGGTGTCTTATTTCAGGGATGTCCCATGGTGCTAATGAATACTCTACATTAGTAACATAGTTCTTACTTACAGCTGCAAAATATGAGTTTAATTTCTTATGGGTGGAGATTCTTCTCAAATCAGAAAATGTTTATTTAACTTATAACCTGCAGTCTTCATATCAAGCCTTTTATCATTTTATGTGATCTTGACAGAATGGATTTATGAATTACACAGTGACTCCGATAAAGCACTTGGAATGGCTATAGCTTAGAAACACCTTTATCAGATGTTTAATTTTAATCTTGGATTTCACCCAATCAAATTTAGCTGTATTTTTCCCCCCATATCCAATTGAGGATACAGGAAGATCAAGCTCTGAGATCCTGACAATTTCAGTACCAAAAAAACACACCAGGAAGAATAGGAGCTCATTTTTCAAATATAGTCTAGTGACAGCTTATAACAGCAGCAAAAGAAAATAATTTGGAGACATTTCTCATGCAGTTCACTTATAAACATCCTCATTATATGCAAAACATCAATCCCACCTTTTTGCACCAACTAGTGTGTTTTGGCACAGACATTTCACAGTATTTGACTAACTTGTAACTTTATAATATGCACAATGCAATTTAAGATAATTTTTAAAATATTTTAAATGACCAGACAATCAGGAACTTTTTCAGAATAGGTTTTTCCATGTTAAGCAATCTATTTTAAAAAAAATTTTTTTTTTTTTTTTTAAATCTAATGTCTTTTAAGTTCTGATTTGGTCAAGTCATCATGACTATACATGTTAGCAGCTTCAAGGCTCTCACATGTGCCTCCCAAACCATCTTTTGCCCTTTGAATTCCCACACCTGCAAACTTTTAAATCAAACAGTCCTACAAATGACATAATTGCCAAATGCCCACAAAGTTAAAATGTTAAAAAAAAAAACAACCCAAAACCCCAAACCAAAGCCTACAAAAGCACTGTATATGGTGGGGAATATTTGCTTGAACATTTCACGTACCACAGTTCCTGAAATCACCGACGAACGTTCATCAGTTTCTATGTACTCCTCACCCACAGCTTCCCATACCTCTTGGCTGGATTTGGATATAAAGCGGGACAGCTTTTGACCAATGAGTTCCTGACTACTGCACCCAAGCAGCTTGCAGGCTTTGTCATTAGCCACTAGGATCTAGAAAAGTGGAAAAAAAACACCACAAAACACCAAAACAAAACAAAGAATAAAAGCTGTTAATAAAGCATCACCTCCTGAGGTTGTTGCTTTAACGTCTTATGATATTGCTTCCTCTTGGTGGAAATGGAGTCGTTCTTTTAAATTCTGAAATCTTCAAAAACAGTTCACTAAAGCGTCTTATTCTAGGACATCCCTTGCCCATGTGTCTTCTTTGTTAAGAGGGTTTGAGGCATTGCTTTCCTTGTACATTTCCTGCTGGCTTTTAACTTTCCTGCTCTAGTCTCTTGTGTCATAATTACATCCACAGAGGCAAAACTACAAAGCTGTATTTGCAAGTCAAGCCTGGGCACACCACAAAATTTTATCCACACCTGAAGGCATGCAGTAATCACACCAGTCATTGACATACTTAAGCCTGTGTTACAGGCCAAGTCAGGATTAAATGACTTTAAGACGGGTAAGCCCAAACTGTCAGTTCAAACTAAAAAAGGCACAGCTCTTTACAGTTTTCAGTACTCGATTTTACTCCCTCCCAATGCAAAAGGCATATTTACTGCAGCAGATAAAGAGACCTTGTGCCACTACAAATCCATCCCAGGGCTGGCACGTAACAGACAGAAGGCTTGCAGCACATTCTGCTTTTCCTTTCTTCCCTCATGCCACATCACAGCTGCATTCTTGTTTATTCCCCTTTTGGTTAAAAAAAGACTCAAGACATCCATGCTTCTGATACTGTCTTGTATATTTTGCTAACTACAACCTACAATGGAAATAAACACATTATCAGTCTTTAGAAGACTACTGAGCTTGAGCAGACTATAAAATACCTTCATGATGCTCTGATTGCCTGCAGACGCATGTAAGAATAACAGGCATTTTAGCCTGTCCGATGTCATACAACCTATACCAGTTATGGTATACTGCTTCATTTAGCAGTTACTACTGCAAATACCTCTGTTGTGTTGACATCCACGGTGAAGATAGCTTTGCTTGGATTGCGTGCAGCAGTGGGGAGGTGCTGGCTGGATTTCTCCACAGTGAGGGCATGCAAAAAGGAGCAAGAAGCAGAACTTTCAATGGAACTGGAGAGGGAGGCAGAACCCCACTGAGCCCACGAGTTACCAATTTTGCCGGTACAAATGTTACGAGCTGCCAGCGAAGACAAACAGTAGGAGCTCCATTTCTCCCCTGTGAGAAGTTAAAGATCAGCTATGTAGCTATAACAGTCTACTAGAAGAGTGTTAGAGAAATGAATAAAAAATTAGTTGTCAGCTGAAGCAACTGTCAAATAATCAAAAAATATATGCTTCTAGGTTTTTAAAGAAATTACAAGAAAATAAAATCAATGAAACTACAGAAAACAGAAACAATTCTAATAAACCTATCTTCTGAATCAGTCACTGGCACGATTAATCTCAGTCCATAGGCTAGAAAAATATTGCCAATATCCATAAGATTCAACCAGACTAGTTAACTTTTATTTTTCACTTAACTGAGTTTAAAAGGTTTTGAAATTAAATATAATTACAGTAAGCGTTCAAACCCTTATTAAATACTGTATTAGTCAGAAGCCAGTCAATTAACTATTCACGAGACATGACACTGAAATAACTGTGCCCACACCAATGTTTTAGGTTACACAATGCCAAATGATTGTACTAAAATTTTCAAAAGTTCTGCCTGAAAAAAAAACATTTCCCTGGGAAGTGGCATCAGCAAACAAATGCCATAACTCCACTCCCAAAACAGTAAGCAGCTTTGAAAGTTTAGCAGTACTGCAAGAAGCATTATGAACAACTCATCACAAGGACAGCTCTGCATTTATGTACCACATGCAGTTAGGAATATGGTCACCATGATAAAACAGGGAGACCCATATCTGGACGAATTGCAAACTGCAAAGTTCTTCCACTCTTAACAAAATCCAGTATAACAACATCTTTCTTCCCATTTGGAAATTTTTTTGTGTTTTAGATAATAATACAAGGCGGCAGGGTGGTCCAATGGCAGCCAACAAAGGTTGCTCAGGGACAAGTATAAGTGCAGAGCACCTATCCAGCAACATGTCCCCTGTAAACTCTCCCAGCCTGCAGTCATCTATGGCTCAGACAGCTACTGAACAAGTGCTTTCTGGCAGCTACTTACTGCTATCGCCTGTTACTGCAATAGCAGTACTACTGCTTACTGCTATAGGTTTGGGGGAGGAGGAAGATATGAAACTGTCTGAAACACATGATGTTCACTGACAACACATGAACTCAATCTCCAGATACTGTGCTCACCAGACAGAGATGCTCTAAGCCGGCAGAGTTCAGAGAGTTGACTTTTCCTGCTCTTGCTGGCCCAGGGGTAGGATCTACTTAGTTTATCAGAGTCATTTAAGTGAGCAGGGGCTAGGCCTACTGACGAAAGCAGAAGGCCCCCTTCAGAGGGGCTATAAGCCTTGGCTGCCATGATCACACTCTGGTTGCCACACCACACCTAGGGAGCCTGTAACAGAAACATAAGAAATTCAGTCAGCCTTGCAGTCATGCACTAATACTCTGGATGCTGGCAGGTAACGATGTCTTCTAACCCAAAGCACAGCCCTATAAGTTATGGCGAGACAGCTCCTCATTCTTGCATGTTCCGATCAACGTTTGGTCTGTGTCGTTAACACAAAGGTGACGGTACTGACCGTTATCCTGCCAGAGTGGTATAGGATACCTGTGATCGACAGGACACCTCCACCATACTTCTGTAGGAGCTACCAAGCACCAGCTGGCATTCTGCTCGTTTTAAAAGCAAAAACTTTGGTAATTTGGGAAGTAATTCCCAGTTTCGAGTCAGCAAGTGTGGCACAACTAACTAACTTCCTTCCTTCCTTCCCTCCCGCCGTCCCACCCACCCAGGGTGCTACCCGCACCGCTCACCCTCCCGGGGGCTACAGTCCTAGCCCGACTGCAGTGAGGACCGGGCCCGGCTCGGCCCCACCGGGACGGGACGGGACGGGACGGGACGGGAC